TTTTTTCTATGCTATTATCTTGTTTTTTAGACAATTCTTAGCTCTTTTGGTTGGTTTGTTCTTAATTTTGTTTCTCTATTTGACTATTAGTTAAGGTTAGTTTCTCGAATCCACTTCTTTAATCACCTTGTTACTTCCTTTATTTTGGATCTTATTTCTTTCAATATTATCAAGTTGAATGATAGTAATGGTGCCTCAATTTTCTTCCTAAATCCTTTCTTACTTCAATTTAGTAATTTATTAATTTTTTTTTTTATGATTATGATTAGATTATGTGATCTTTTATAATTACATAAGATATATAAGATAATTAATTAGATTCTGATGACAGATATTGGTCAATAAAAAAGAAATCTATATTATAATATGATTTCTTCAAGCATGTCTTTCATAGGAGGAATTCTTCTAATAACTTATCCTAGATCCTCTATTCTCGCCTATAAATAGACAAGACATTTAGGGACTAAATAATGTATGTCATAGAGAACACAGTTGAAAGATTACGGTTTCTCTTGTAGATTGATGTTACTATGATATTTAGATCCGAAGAACAGTACCTTTGCAAATTAGATAAAGATCTTTTTCAGATAGCATCGGTACGCATCATAAATCCGATCTAATGTTATTTTATTTTAATATTGACATGAAAGTTTTCCGTGTAACTTATAGCATATTACATATTTTATATTTATAATTAATATCGAAGCCTAGGTTCTTAAGATCAAATATGTTACATTTGTCATTTTTGTTTATGATCCTTCAATGATCTAGATATTTTGTCGATCTAAATTCCTATCTACTCCATCTTCTCGCCTACTTACGGGTGATGTTAGATTCTTTATAATGTAATCTTCGATGATCATGAAGCGGTCGCTGTATAGTACCGTTGCCGATGGCAATCGTAGCATCCTCGCTGTGTACGATCGCTATGGCGGATTCGTTGGTAGCAACGATTGTGCTAGGCAACACATGCGCACTGCAATAGCAATAGTGGTCGTGGGCAGCCGCTCGGTGGCGAGCCATACATCGTGATTGACCACAAATCGCGACGGTCACTCTATGACGGTTGTGGGTCATGCGTCGGGTTGGACACGCATCGCGACAACCATGTGCAGGCATGTAGGCAACAACGCATGCACGCAACGACCACATAGCGACAATTGTGTGCGGGCAGAGGCCGCATCTAGGCTGCAACAATGCGAGGGCAAAGGCCGTGCCCTACCGACGATTGCATATGTGGTAACTGCCCACAGGTAGTGGCCACACTAGCAGTGCCCACCCGCGCATAGGGGCGACAACCACCCCTTAGGGTTGTGAAAGAAAATTATATTTTTACCCCTATATTTTTTATTAATTCTGTTTTAATCTTGTAACAATTTTGCCCTTTACAAATCTCATAATTTCAGTTTATGTCGTATCAATAAATTTTCTATTTTACCCTTATGAAATTAAATTTTTTTTATTTATATCCTTAATTATAAAATTGATCAATATAATTTAATTGAATTTGATCATGATTATATTTTGACTTATTATTAATTGAATTTAGTTTCAATCAAATTTAGAAAGGATTAAATTTGATTAATTTTTGGTTTTGATCAACCTATTTAATTGAGCTGATATTTAGCCCAATTTTGGACTTGCCCAAATTAAATACAATCGATCGGTTTAATTTAATATTTTATGTGAAAATAAAAAAATATAAATTACTGTTTCTTTTATAGTTTTCTTATATGATTTATTGATTGTATGCAGTAAATAAAATTTAATTATTGTTATTGGATATTTATTTAGTTATTTACATGTATATGTTTAAAATTATGAAATAATATTATCTTTCACATAAAGGCCCATCATTCATCATGATTATAGTTATCATATAAGTTTTTCTTTTTATTGATTAAGGTTCAATAATAATAATAATAATTATTTTATTATTAAACTATTTTAGTGTAAATGAAATTAAAATTTTTGATGAATATTATTTGTAACTCATCTCCTTAAGTTTTATTTAATCAGTAACTACCAAAGTGGCTTAGGATGATAGACTTATGAGATGTGAATTACAATAAAAGTTTTTATTTATAGGATATTTTAAACTATATTTTATATTAGTGTATTGATCTTGTAGCCACCAAAGTGACAGACTAATAACTTATAAAATGACATTAAAGAATTAGTCCTAAATGACATCAAAGAAATAATATTCATAATGACACATATAATTAGGAGTTAGATAATCCCAAAGGAGAATCTACTTCAAATAGTTATGTGATGGGGTAGGATGATATTGTTTTGAATATTCTTATAGTTTATGATTGTATACTCAAAGATAATAATACTATTCTACAAGGATAGTATAAATCCTCTATAGATAATCTTGAGTAAACATCGGATATATTAATATTTTACCAAAATGTGAAATATGGATGATATCAATTTTGAAAACTTAAAGCATTAATATTGTTTTATATTTTTATAGTGGTGCTTTCTTTGATATATTCTCATGCTTCCGATGTCCTTGGATTCTCTAGATCAAATTATTTAGAATGAATAGAGCATATGTAATTTACACTGAGCGTATTAGATCTTAACTTAGTATTGCTTGTCGAAAAGCCTATAAACTTGATTGGTGAAAGCACTATAGAATAAGTTAATGAAATAAAGGTTTGGGAAATATATGATAAGCTTAGTTTAATATTTATAAGAATGATGATTACAAATAATATAAAGACTTTATTACCAATTGTAATATTTAAGATTCACTATAATACAAATAATGATAAGTGGGACTTGAATGAGTTAACTAGTATATGTGTACAGGAAGAATTGAGATTAAGGTAGAAAAGTTTATATAATATCATAACTACTATCAAGGAGCTAGTAATAAGAAAAGAAAATTGAAGCATCTCTATCAAAGAAATTTGTCGGATTTAGAAATATTAAACAAACTAATGAAAGAAAGCTATTACAATAAAACACTTCTTTTGTGACAAGAAAAGACATATAAAGAAGGACTACATTAAACACAAAACTTGGTTTAAAAATAAAGGTATGAACTCAACCTTTATATGTTTCGAATCAAATATTATAAAAGTTTCTTCTAATACTTGGTGGATTGATTATAGTGTTTTAATTCATGTTACCAATAATATATAAGGATTTCTTTTAATTTGGAAACCAAAAGAACATGAAAGATTCATCATTATGGGAAATCGTCTCAAAGCAAAAGTGATATCAGTGGAGACTTCTTGCTTATGCCTAAAGAAAGGTTATCTAATGGATCTTGCTGACATATGTTTTGTTCCTATTATTTATAGAAATTTAGTTTCTCTATCTAGAATTGATTAGTTAGGATATTAGTTTTCTTTTGGTAATGGTAAACTCAATATATTTTATAATTTAATAAAAATTGGTTATGAAATTCTATGTAATGGTTTATATAGAATTAATTTGAATCTTAAGTTTGTAAAAACATTATTGATCCTATAATCCAGTGTTAGATTGAAACATAATTTCAATAATGAAAGATCTTGTATACTATGGCACAAACGATTGTAGCATATCTCGAAGGAAAGAATTGAAATATTAGTGAATATTTTAAAATATTTAAACTTTATTGATTTTGATTTTGATGTTTGTATATATTACATTAAGAGAAAGTAATACAAAGAAAAATACCACAAGAAGTAAATAACTCATTGAGATTATTATATATGTGGACCACTCCATATTCCCTGTTTTAATGGATAAAGGTATTTCATCACATTTATAGATGACCTATCCAGATATGATTATATTTATCTAATACATGAAAAGTTTCAAGCCATTGACACTCTAGAAGTGTATATAAATGAGGTCGAGTGATAACTAGACAAAAAAGTTAAAATTATCAGATCTGATAAGGGTAGTGAATTTTATGATAGATATGATGAATTTGATTAGAATGTTGGTTCTTTTTCTAGATTTATAGAATAATGAGATATTTGTGCTCAGTATGCCTTATCAGGTGTGCCACGGTAGAATA